GGACACAATACTAATGAGAAACAGACTTTTGTTTACCTCTAGGTCACATCTTCAGATTCTGTGCTATGGCCCAGTAACATATGCACGTGAATTATTATCATTATTATATTAAGGTCCACAGGACAAAGGCACACTATAATTCTCTTGACAGGTTGATGATGCAGGTAAGTTAAAGAGTAGGTCTTTGATTCTCATTCTCTGTAGTGGCCTTTCTGTTGTTTAATTTTGAAAGGATCACTCTGCAAATTTGGGCATCTCAGTTTATCCTGGCTGGTGAACAGCTTGGGTTCTTGTCCAAGATAGAGCTGTACGGAAGGCCAACATAGGATAGAACTGGTAAACTGCATGTGAGCAGTGTACGCTGCTCACACTACACCTTTGACTCATGATCACTTTCTAATTTCCTTCAGCAGCATCTTGCTCTTCTTTAAAGGCTGCAGACACAGTATTTTATCCTAGATCAATTTAGGCATTGTCTGTTCAGTGTCTCACTGTCTTGTTTACTTGCTTTCAGATTCGAGGGTGAATGTGTTCCCCCATACCATTTTCCAGAAAATTATTATTGTTTTGTAGGAAGGAAAAAGCCTGACATAGGTCATGTCAGATAGGTGGATATGTGCAAAGAATTGCTGTGAAAAAAAGTTGGAGGGCATAGCAGTAAACATGTGGTAAATCAGATAGAGAATGAAAGTGTATTGTGCCAGAAAGCAATAGTTCAGAAGAGGAAGGAGCAAAGCCAGGCCTGGGGAAATGTTGCTGGTCACATTAACTGAGTTACAAAGGCTTAATCTAGATGTAGATGCTTCCCACAAATAGAGAATAATAGAAGTAAAAGTGTATGTCCCCATACATAAAGAATAGAACTAACATAAGTAGCAATGAAGAAATCCACTGGAAGGAATCCAGTGCCCTGTGTCCTCACTGCATGTAAGATTACATATAACTTATGGATGGAATGAAGTTCAGCAGCAGCAGCAGCAGCAGTGTCTGCTCTTTAGTTCCTCATCCCATGCATGTTATCCAGACAGGCTTTTTCAGTCACCTAGACAAAGCCTGTTGAATCAGGAGCTTGATCATGCTTTGGTTGGTACTGGCATAAACCTTTGGCCTCAGCCTCCTCCCTTTGCCATGCTCTGTCATTGCCCTCTGAGACCCAGGTGCAGTCTTGGTGGGGACAGTGGGTGCTGTTCTTCCTGTGTTGGTTGCAAGAGGATGTGGAAGAGACGAGGCCTTCAGAGTCCCAGTTCTGAGATCACAAGCTTTCAGAGCTTGGATTCTGAATAATCCTATGACCTCCCAAAATGGTGTTGGGAGGCCATAGGATTGTGCCCTGAGAAACTAATTTCTACATGCAGTTACCCAAGCACTTGTACAAAATGGGTAAAGGCTATGAATATGGCATCCCTGAATGTCAAAATCTGTCAAATTCATGCTTCCCCTCACCCCAAACTTACTGTTCAAAATTCATTTTCGAAAAGTGATATTGTTTAGTACAGCTGTGATCTAAAGTGTAATGTTAGTAATGTCTGCCACTCCAGTGTAGATGCCATATAGAAGAAGCATATGTTAATGCTTTTCCATGGTGCTAGCCCTGGGTCAAGAAGTCTGGTATGTATCCTTCCCTCTAGGCTTCCTCCAGAAAACATCTGCCTTGATTTCCTGTGCTTTTTTGGTCTCCTTTTATTTGTCCCCAAGTCAATTCCTTTGTAAACTGTCTCCCTTTCAAAATGACAGATGGAAACTGTGTGTTTTAGTAACATACAAATAACCATCTTCAGTCTTAGATCTTGTCACCCTAAAGGGACAAGAACTCACACATTATCAAGATACTGATATTTTATTTACAATATTGCTTCAGCAGCTTGAACAGATGAGCACGTAATGGTGTCCATGCCTCTTTCATAGCTGTTTCCCTTTCCTGCAGCCACATGAGAAAAGTAGGTGTCCTTGTTATATCAATCTTCTATCCCTCTATCTGATTTAACAGGTAATAAGCTTCTTATAGCACAATCCTATAAATGCAAAATAAGTCCTATTAGGTTCAATGGTCTTACTCCCAGTTACGTGGGCATAGGACAGCCATTCTTCCTCCATACCCTTGGCACTTCTGAGAAGGAAACTAAAAAATCTTGCCAGTGTGTGAGCTCTTATGTAGAATGTGGCAGCACTCCAATGCAGGATTTCTTTTGCTTGCTAGCTCCATAATCATTCTATGTACTTCTGGTTTTTTCTGTTGCAAGTATATCTATATTATATTAGTGGTATATTTTCTGTTATGTTGTTGTGGGCCACCTGGAAGCCAGTTTGTGAAAGACTCTGTGTGTGTTTTTTATATATATAAATGCCAGGAAACCTGAGGCTTGGGAGTCACATGGGGCTCTTTGAGATTGTCCTGCAGTTCGCTGTCTGCTACCATGGACACCCATGGGCACCAGCTTGCTACTTCCCACCCTCTGCCACCTCCGCCCAAGGATGCCTGCTTGGGGCTCCCAAACATTTGACATATACTGTATGTCACTTTTCCATTAAGCAAGCCTGGCTACCCCGATATAGGTAATGAAGAAGCTTATTGTGTGTAAGCTTCATCGAACCCAGTGGAACTTATTTCCAAGTAAGCATACCTGGGAATGGGTGCACAGCATTTTCTTTGATGTCATTAGGAGAAATTCTTTGGGCACTGATTAGTTTTGGAAACTAACCAGATGGGTTGCACACACGTTAAATACTTCCACATGAGCACACTACCAAATGCTCTCATCAGCACCAAGTGTTGAAAAGGCTATTGGCACTATCCACTGGTGACATGTCGTAGAATCTGTGGGGAAAGGGTATGCAGGGGCTCCCTGACTCATTGCAAATATACTCTTATGCTTATCTGCTCAAAAGAAATCGACACGTTACACCCAAGCAAGTGGGTACAGGATTGCAGCCTTCATAGAACTTCTTGTTGAGCCATCACTTTATCGATAGGATTTAATTCATCTTGGAGTTCACTCCTTCTTCCCACATATTTCGACATGTCATTTCTTCCCCTGCATCACCAGTACTTTCCGCAGCAACGGCACTGAACCTCTTTCAGCCTGAAAGCCAAATCCAGTTTCAGAAAAGCTCTGTGGGTGCACTTAAGTGGTGAGTGGAGTAAGATAAAGAGGGCAAGAAGTCAAATGTAGATCTATTGTAGGCTGAAGCCCTTCTCGCCAGTAATTAAACCTCAGGAGAGACACTTCAAACTTTTTGCTTGGGGCAGGGTGAGGGGAGATTACACAAATGCCAGGAAATCACTCGGTGAGGGATGGTTAGGGGCAAAAAGACTGGGGCCAGGGGGAAAGAGGGATTTGGACGTTGAGAAATCCAGTGTAGCTAAGTGGATTTTAAGAGGTTCAGAGGTTCTTGGACGTGAGGTTTTTGCTAATTAGCAGTTACTTTAGTCATTTATTAAAAAAAAATACTATGTACCATAGTTAAAAGTTGTAGCCTCTCATGTAGCTACTAACAGCTTCTATACATAAAATGGTGGCTGCCAAAATATTCTAAAATTACAGAAGTGCACACCTTAATGAAATAATGGTACTGGGGAAGATGATATTAGTTTGATATATAAGTGCCTGTAAAAGTTTCAGCTGACCAGAACACTTCATTTTTTTGCCTTCCCCACTTCAGTTAGTTGAAAGGCAGCAGTTACTCTGTAAGCTTTTTCACTGACAAACCTCTAGACCTTGAAGGCATGAATCTTTGCCAACCATTGAGAGGGCACTGACTGATAGTCCGGGTGTCTGGGTGGAAGAGCATGTGTCAAAGAGGGAAAGAAGGACATGGCAGGCCCTGCATTATCCTAAGGGTATCATTTGGCTGAGTTTCTTAGGCACTGAATCAAAGGGGGTGATAAAGTTGCAGCAGTTACCTATCCAAGTATTTTTAAACAAGTATTTGAATATTATTTCAATAACATGTTGCGAAGCAGAATAGAACGCTCAACACATGCTGCAAAACAGAAGGCTCAACACAGCACTTCAAGTCAAAACACATTTTAGTTCCTTTGTGGGCAAGCCACGGTCTATTTTCAAAAGGACTAATAATGTTTCTTGTTTAAATTCACATATGATTGCACCATTAGTTTATTTCTAATCCTTAAAAAAACAAGATTTTGAAAACGCTTGCTTAAAAAGAGAAAAATCTGGTTTTTTCAATATTTTACTTTTTATAAGGTCGATCTAAGTATGTGTAGGAAAGACTCCATCTACCATGTAAGAGAAAGACAGCTTTACTAATAACAACATCCAATGAATACAAATAGACTATGACAATGGTACTTTTAGTTGGGGTGCATACAGTTCCAGGGCTTATGTGCCATCTAGTGGTAGAATAGGATTATGAAACTTGTCCAGTCTGTATTTTATATTTCATAATCCAAAGAGCTACCACAGCTCCCCACGGCCCCACATGTTTAGACATGTTCACTGGCCTGGTGTTCTCGACCAACAAGCCTGGGCACAGTATCACACTACAAACTGTTTTAAAATGTTCCCTTTGTTTCCAACACAGTGTCAGAGAGAGCTGCAATTCAACAAGAAATGCAAACCAAAGCCTGTTTGGACTTGGAGAACTAATGAAGTTTTGTGGATCCTGGCTTAGTTTAACCAAACATTGTATCAGTATTTGTAGGAATACTTTGAAATTCTGTTAGGAAAAGGCCATAGAACTAAGGACTCATTCTTGTCAGAAACTGTACAGTTAGCCTCAGAGGGAAACAGCCCATCTTATTGAGAATTTAAGCGTGTGCCTAATGGAATGGGTAAGAAAATGAATGAATGAATGAATGTTTTATTTAGCTTTAAGTAGTAAGACTAAAATTGATGCAGACATTCCATATTCTTTCTTACACTGTCTTATTCCAACTTTATTGGAGACCTATGTCAAGCTTAACGTAAGTCAATTGCTTTTCTTTAAAAAAATTACTATGTGACATTTTAATCTCTTACTGTATGTATATATTTCTCTAGGTAGAGATTGGAACAGTCTTACCATCCATAACTCAAGAGATTTATTTTCCTTCACCTTTGCCAGAAGAACCTGAAGAAGAAGCATCCACACCCAAACTTATTGATGGCTCTTCACCTCATGGTCCAGGAGTTCTTGGTCCACATACCCATGAAGGTTTGTAAAAAGAGGATTGGTGAGGTATAGGGCATGACTGAGTCCTTCTGTTCACTGTAGTAGGAGCGAAACTCTAATTTCACACATCCTTTGTCTCAGTACTCCTTCAAGTGACTTCTACATTTCCAAAAAGATGTCGAACAATACTTAAATGGACAGCACCATTGCATCACTGCAATATCAGACTAGGCCTCTGGAAAGACCTAAATGCAAAGCTGTCATCTTATGAAAACCCAAAGCAAGTGTTTGTAGGGCAGAGAAGAAAGATACGATCTTACTCCCCAATATCTTCCTGTGATATTCATATTGCAATTTAATATTCCAGTTTATAGGACAGGTGTAACAGCTGATCTGGAATAGGGCTGAGTGAATGATTCACTTCCACTTCTGTCCTGTCATGTTTTGGGGTGCAATTTATATTAAAATGGCATATCTCATATGGATGTCTCCAGGCATGAAATCCTGTCAGAAGGATAGGTGGGGCAGCTAGGGAGTTATGAAACCAACTTGTTATATTTCCTTACTGAAACCTAGTGGCATTGGAAGAATGACCATCTAGCCTTAGTGCCATCCTTTCCCTCCCTCAAGACACATTGAATTCAGATCATCTAATAAAACAAGCCCTGTGGTGCAAAGCTGGGCATGTCACTCTACTCCTCCAGCTGCATTCAGAGAAATGAAAGACTGTTTTTTAACTGCACCACCTTTCTGAAGCTAAATTGCGAGCCATGCCCACGGCACAGTCCACCTTTACTTCTGGTCATTCAAGAGGGAAACCTGCTTTGCATTGATTCAGAGGCTTGCGCCCCCAGCTGTCCTGAGGGCTTGGGTGTGCACCACATGCTGGTGGCCATGGAAGGAAAGTTAAGGTAGTCATAACCGTGCTTTTGCACTTTGCTGCCAGTGCACTTCTGTCAGCCCAACAGGGTGCAATGGGCTGGATTTTGCCTTTCTTGCAGAAATCCAAGATGGGAAGAAGTTAGTGGTCAAGAAGACTGTCACAACTGCAGACGAATGGCTCTGTTCTAGATCTAAATCAAAGGGGAACAAGAATGTGCATGGTTCCCAAGGAGGGGACACGCAGCGTTGCAGCCCACCTCAAGGGCTATATGCCAGCATCATTCCCAAGGAATTGGGGAATTGTGCCAACAGGACATGCAATGGCAGGATCTACTCATGATCCAACAAAACCTCCCAACACTGAAGGGCATCCACCACATAGGTCGGGATGGGTTGCCTGATTAAGTCATCCTTTCATTTGCCACGTCAGATCTGGAATCTATGAAGTTAAAGCCGTCACTGCCTGTGTCTTTCCTAGAACAGCTACCCAGTTGGGTGCGCCTGGTACAAGTGGCCCCAAGTGGAAAATTTGGATCAGGCCTCATGTGCTGCACATCTCTACCTTCTGGTGAATATCAAAGGCCAATAGATAATGTCTCATAGCAGCTTATCATCCAAAAATTAACATGAACAAGCACTTTTTTCAAGCACTGCATTTTCATCCATAAATTTATGGCATTTCTCAAATTTTCTTGCAATTTATTTTCAGAATAAAGACTGAAAATAAGTCATTCTCAAATTCATTGCCTAGAAATATTAACCCTTGTTGTGATTTCAGCAGCAATATGAAGAATGATAATTTTTCCTAATTATATCCACATACATGTTACTAAAAATCTTTCAAAAATCGCTTCAAATCTTTTTCTTATCCATGTTCAGCAGTAGTTGGATGTTTTGTTTAATCATCTACAGCTTTCAAGCAGCTTTACCTCAAAGAATGATTGAAACCTTTCCTGATGTCATTGTTCTGCATCACAAATACTAATTTAAAACAATTCTACGGAAATTGAGGTCTCAGCAACTACAAAAAAATCAATTTCCTCAAATACTATAAAAAATGCCCGTTACCAAACTAAATGTAAGCAGTTTTATTAACTTTTAACAGGAAACACACAAATTCTCATTGTATGATACAAGCTGACGAGGACATCATAGCTATGACCTGAGGAAACAAGCGCAAATAAAATCTTCCATTACTCCTTATATCGTCTTCCTTATAACAGACAATAGATATAAAGGCTATCAATCACTTGATTAATTGATCAGCAATTTTCTTGATCCAAACAATTCAGTAAAAAAGAACCTAGCTGATTTTATTATGCTTTGTTACTCTTGAAAAGTCATATTGGGTAGTTATTCCTAGATTAATTAGTGTATGTATGTATGTATGTATGTATGTATGTATGGCTTTATATCCTGCTCTTCACAATGTCCCAGGGTAGTAAATGCGGAACACACAAAATAGTTAGAGATGCATGCAGTAGATTAGGAATGACTGAATAAATTGTATTTTATTTCATGTTTTAGGACTACCAACTTGTCTGTTGTGTACTTGTCTGGCTACATCAGTGTATTGTGATGACCGTGAACTGGAACTTCTCCCACCTTTGCCCAAGCAAACCACCCATTTCTACTCCCGCTACAATAGAATCAAGAAAGTCAACAGGGATGACTTTGCTAAATTAAGTATGGAAGATCATGCTTGTAATATTGGCCACTGCATTTTATTTTATTGCATATGATGTGGAGCATTTGTTTGTACTGAAAGTTAAGCATGAAGTAACATGTGTCTTTTAGACCAAAATAATCTATTTAATAATTTAGAACAAATGGTTTAGAACTATTTCTATCCAAAAAGTGGTGATTTTTCCAGTGCTGTTTTTTAAAGCTGGTATATTCTACAAGTGTTTTCCTGGTTTTATTTCTAGGCAACTTAAAAAGGATTGACCTGACTTCCAATTTCATATCTGAAATTGACGAAGATGCCTTCAGGAATTTACCACAACTTCAGGAGCTGATACTCCGAGACAACAAAATAAGGCAGCTTCCAGAATTACCACCAACCTTGGTCTTTATTGATATTAGTAACAACAGACTAGGTCGCAAAGGAATAAAGCAAGAAGCATTTAAAGTAAATTTTGAGTTGGATTGCCTAACTATTTATTCCCATCTGAGAAAACAATTGCTGATAAACATACTAAGAAATGGAGGTGCTTTCCCATGAGGTTCTTCAAAGCAGTGAAATGTGTACTACGGAGGACGCCAGCCAGTTCACAAGCAGGTGGCTTCAGCAATCATGAAGCTCTCTGGTGATCTTTTGTCACCCCTGTTGGTTTCAGTGCAGTTTGTGCAGGCGAAAGTTTTGGTGGGCTGTTGGCCGTATTTCTGGCTGCATGCCCACACATTGTGCATATGTGTAGGAATTAATATTTGTATTTGCTGCTTCAGGTCCCAAGATAGCCTTGAAAAATGATATTGCTTTTCTAGCTCAGGGGAGTACCTGGTTAGAGAAGCAAGCTTATTTATTTAATTTATTGCATTGATGCATTTATTATATTTTCATCCCATCCCGTCCCTGGATGATGAACCCAGGTTGACCATATAATCCTCCTCCTCCATTTTTTCCTTAAAACAACCCTACCGGGAAGGTTAGGCTGAGTGTCCATGACTGGCCCAAAATCACCCAGCATGCTTCATGGCTGAGTGGCCAAGATCTCCTGAGTCCCAGTCCTGTACGCTTAACCACTCTTCCACACCAACTTTCATTGTCTGTCCCAGCAGCACACTGCCTGGATTGCATTTCCAGCATCTAGCAGAGCTGGCCAGTGTTTTTTAACCAGCCTCTGGTGTACAATATACACAGACATCTTATTTTGCTGAATCAGACTGAGTTTTGAATCTACAGAAATTGTACAGATGGAAACTAAAGCAATTTTCCATGCCCACGGAGCATTCCAGCTCCCTATGGCATCCCTTTCTAAGCTTTGTGAAGAGGCTGGCAGAAGAATCCTATTATCAGAGATAATGAGGGCATTCCCACTGCACTGCTCTCCATTCAAAGAGCACGCAGGGGAGTCCCCTTGGTCTGTACTGTAGAAGTATTGGTATTTGAGGCTAAAGGGAATAACTGCTGTGTCTGGAAACACTTTTGTTTTCTTCAGGATATGTTTGAATTGCACCATCTTTACATCACTGATAACAACTTGGATCATATCCCACTTCCACTTCCTGAAAGTCTCCAATCACTTCATCTGCAGGTGGGCAATTAAAATACAGAGTCTGAATTTTAGATATCATGTTTAATTGGAAGAGGAAATAATAATAGCACCCCAGAGTAGATTTATTTGCCTTTGGAACTGCAACTGCTTTGATGCATTTTTAAATCCAGGCATGACATTCTAGGTTGTTGTTGAACAGTATGAATTATTGGTATAAATATGGTTGAGAAAATCAAGGGGGGTTTGAGTTGGGAATGAGGAGATGCTGTTGAAAGACTGGGGCCCTTAGTGACAAATCATATCCACCTCTGAGATCCTGCTTTATGGCCACAATCCACCCCAAGGCTAATTGCACTTAAAGTCTCATCTACAGGGCTTAACCCTGTCAGAATGTAGTCCATATGTTTAATTAAAGTGGACTTGTGAATGCTATATATATAATACGAATCCTTTGTCCAGAAGAATGTGTAATCCTCCTGAGTCAGAGATGGTTCATTCTAACAGATGATTAAATTGATAAATATGTATTTTTCATGTATACATCCATTAATCATAACATTTCTGTTGCTATATATGTTTATATTTAGTATTCACTGGTTTCACTAATTGGGTTGTCAGATCTGACAACACTTTTTAATTCCTTTCTCACATTGCTTGGGATGACAGTTGGATCCAAGGTGACTTTAGCATAAGATCCTACACAAACAACATCAATTGATACAAGTTAATTCTTTCTTTCCTTCTTGGCCCACCAATGAGTTCTGTACCAGAACATTTAGGAACATTCTAAGACAGAAATGGGAAAGCTCCAGCCTGCAGCCTATATTTGGTCCACAGGAGTTCCCATTTCAACTCTTGGAGGTCCTTTCCTGAGCCCTACCCCAGGACGGATGGAAGGAAGGAAGGAAAAAGGCAGTATTTCTCTGTCAAGGGGACAGGAAATTCCCATTCTTATCCTCAGTCACTAATCAGAAATAAGAGTGGGGGTTTCCTTTCACAGTGGCAGAGATGGGGACCTTTTTCACATGGATCTGTAACACCACCTACTGCATGATCAATGTGAAGAAAGTTAAACTGAGGCAAAGCATCCAGCTACTGTGAGAATCTGTTTAAAAAGACTTCCTGGCTACAAAAAGCTTAGATTAGGAGAAGTCAACACGTACAGTGTAGGGGAACAACCAAAAAAATGTTCCCCAGCAGTTTTCATAGACCTGGACTAAGCAGATAGGAATTTGCTTCATCCTGCAAGAAATGCATAGACCCTTCTTGAGTGCATAGAGTGTACTTCTTGAGAAGGGTAAGGGAACACATGAGAACTGTTCTTGGCAAACTCTGATCAGAGTTCTAGAATGGGTGGGGGACAGTTTAGTCCCCAGAGCTGTATTCTTTCTGGCTTACACCTCAGGGGGCTCTCCCTTCCCTTAGAGCCCCACCCTTTTTTAGTCTCTGTAGCAAGCCATGGAGTGATCATTCCTGCCTCTGTCTTCATAAAAAATATTTATCTGAGCAGAAAGATGCAGAAGGAACCATGCTTGGCCTTTCTCTGCAGATTTCTCTCAGCAGTACAGAAAGGCCGCCTTGCATTGATGGCCATGCCCATTACTGAATTTACTGAACATTTGTGCCTTATGAAGATTTTCATACCACGGAAGCAGAAGGCTGGTTCAAGTAGAGGCTGGGTCAATGTCTTCTAACCCCATTTGCTATTATAAATTAATGAAAATGCAGTCCCAGAAGACAGCAGAATTCTGGAAACTGCTCAGTATCTCCTTGTGGACAAGAATGCCAAGACAACAAATGGTGGATGGATTTGGTCTCGGGGGGGTGGGGGGGGCAGACAAGCTTTTCATAATGATTTCAGAATATTGAACCTGATATTATGCAATAGCCAACTTTCCAAAGGACTCAGATACACAGAGAACTTAATTCTAGGACATCTACTTTCAGAATGTATGTGTTAAACTCTCCACCTCAGCATTATACTAGTGACAATCAGTGCATAATCCACCTGATCCCATGCACTCCATGTGACTTCTTATCTTAGAAGACAGCTCTTTAGTAGTGGTTTCATCTCCCAGATATATAAGAGAATGTGTGCTTTTACATCATAATTCCACTTTTCCCCTTTGAATGGCTAAACAAAACCTGTGTGTTTATCTTCTCATTTGATTTCCTAATGCACAGGATGATCACGGGTGGACACGGTGTTAGCCTCTTACCCGACTATAGCAGTCATCTACTTTGTCTACTTTGGTGCTCTAAAGGTTTGCCTGGGTCATCCCAGTGGTCTGGTTTTATACGAGCAATAACTCTTTGTCACAAGCTTACTAAACACACTGTTCAAGGTGCAGCCAGGGGGAAGTGTCACCTTTGGGAAGGCAGCATTGCACACATTCCCCTGACGATGCCAGCATCCTACTCCGTAATGGTCAGATTACAGTCCTGTGTATAGATTATCAGTTGAGAAATCAAACAATAAAGTAGCTTGCTGGTATATAGCCAGATTTCTCCCATGTTCATCCACACAGTCACGCATTCTGCGTTCCTTCTCTGTTGAGAAATCTCCTCCTAGTGATGGAACTTATATTGTTGGTGGTGATGATTATGATTGTTAGTATGATTATTACATTACTGACTTTGGTTATTGACAGCACTAACTTCATAGTTTTTTTGTTTGTTTGTTTGTTTTAGAATAATAATATACAAGAAATGCATGAAGATACGTTCTGCAAAATGAAAGATTATTCTTACATCCGGAAATCTCTTGAAGACATCAGGCTAGATGGCAATCCAATTAACTTGAGTAAAACCCCTTATGCTTATATGTGTCTACCCCGTATGCCCATTGGAAGCCTTTTTTAAGCTTGGGTGGTTATCAAAATGTCACAGACATCATGTATTTTGGAGGTAGCCACACCATTGCTTTCAAAAACCTAGTGCATATTATTTAAAAAGCTTCACATGTTAGGCTATGGTTTCATTAAATAAGTAAATAGTCACAACTAGTAACCTGCAAAGCTGAAAAAATGCCATGCTCCCATTGGAAATGGAAACTGGTGCTGAACAGCTGACAAAACTATGATGAAAGGTGAAGAGATAAACACAACCATTGAAGAAACCAGATGTCAATTATTCTTAGCTCATAATATAGAATGGTAATTCACTTTATAATGGCAATGCTATAAGGAAAGGCGTCCCTGTAGATTTTACTTTGCTAGCCGAAATGGCTATAGGGACAGCACTCATCTCTGTTTCAAATGCTATAAGAATTGCATGTAAACAGTGATTCATGTTACCTTATTTTTATTATTGTTTTCAATGTTTCTAATAAATGCAAGTCTTTACCATATTTTTAAAATAGCATGGGGAAAGCTCTACTAGAAAGCACAGTTCTGCATTGCTCTTTCCCATAGATCCCAGTCACATGTTGGATCAGGTTATTTGCTCAATTTTAAAATTCACCTTTGTAAAAGATTGAACGTGGAAATTGTACTTATACAAATAAATAAATGAACCTCAAGTATGTGTAATATTTTTATACAATTTCTGGACTTGCTAATAGTGAAGAAACAAACATCTCTGCTCCATATATCAATGTAAGCTCATCTTCAGTGTCAGAGTGACAATGAAACATTTCTGTAAAATTTTGAATATTTCCTGATATTGTTGAAATAAGACGACAGTACCAATATATTCTAGAAATGGTGTACAGTTTTTTTTGTCCATATATTTTAATGATTTCATGAGGGAACACATTTAACCATGAGGAACTATTTCTTAAGATAAATAAGAAACAAATAAATCCTTGTTAGTATAGTGGTGAGTATCCCCACCTGTCACGCAGAAGACCAGGGTTCGATTCCCCAATGGGGAGATACTCAGTGGTTTTGGTGACATAAAGGTATGTGAGGGGATGTCACATGGAGATGGGTAGAGACCTGTTCTCCCCTGCAGAGGAAGGCAGGACACGCTCCAATGGAGTGAAGCTCAGGGAGCCAAGGTTCCATTTGGATGCTGGGAAGCACTTCCTGACAGTCAGGACCCCGAGGGTGTGGAATGGGCTTCCGCGGGAGGTCGTTGAGGCCCCATCGGTGTGGGTGTTCAAGGATAGGCCGGACGTGCACATGGTGGGCATGTCGTGAGCGGAGCCGGCTGGTGCCGGAGGTCAGACTAGATGGCCCGGGAGGCCCCTTCTGACTCGCTCTATGTTTCTAAGATATGTTTTTCTGAACATGCACAAAGACACCCTGTCCCATCACTCTGCAATATTTCTGCAATTATAAATCTGTATACCTTTTCCCATTATGCATTAATGCATAAATTAAAATGCCTCCAAAGGTAAGTTTCCATTGGGATATGGAAATAGGATGGAATGAGCTTGACTGGGAGGAGGGGTGGACCTCTTCCATCATTAATCCAGATTCAGCTGGGATGATGGAGGTAAACTTCCCCACATCTTTTCTTTTAAATTGTTATATTATTATTATTTATGTAAGCTTTATGTATTCTTTGTGAGCCGCTCCGAGGCTTTGTTGAGATGGGGGCGGCATAGAAATGTTTTAAATAAATAAATAAATAAATAAATCTTCCACCACCCTGAAAATGCCACAGAGTGGATTTAATGAGCTGGGTACAGAGAGGGATCCCTGGAAACTGGGTAGACCTAAGCAGCAGTGCCATCTGTGAATCAGGCCTTCTATCCACAAATGCAAAGTCCTGAGTCTAACCTGTGGTCCCCCAACCTGCTGCTTCTAATGAGCCATGTGATGTCCATCTGTGGGGATAATTAGACTATTCTGTCCACATTTCACGTAACATTTTTGTTCTGTCATTTGCACATTGGTGGAATTTTATTTTGTTCAAATGAGTTTGAATGCCTGGGTGCAATTTATTTATTTATTTAGACAACTTACATACCACCCCATCGCATGAGCCTCGGGGCAGCTTACAATCATTAAAATCCCGTATAAAATGCAAAAAAATCATCAAAGAAATAAAATACATAAAATAAAATAGTGGAAACAGCCTGGTCAATTTAAAATCAAGTAAACCATTAACAGTTAAAATAGCATTTAAATAAAAAGGTCTTGGCCTGGCACCAAACAACAAATAACGACGGCGCCAGGCAGACCTCTCTGGGGAGCGCATTCCATAGGTGGGGCGCCACCGCAGAGAAAGCCCTCCTCCGGATACTCACCCTCCTAATATCATTCACAGAGGGTTCCCGGAGAAGGGCCTCTGCTGCCGATCTCAGGGGGCGGGCAGGCACATATGGAAGCAGGCGCTCCTTTAGGTAACCAGGTCCCAAGCTGTTCAGGGCTTTGTAGGTGAGAACCAGCACCTTGAATTGGGTCCGGACTTCAATGGGGAGCCAGTGGAGCTGATAGAGGGCTGGGGTTATATGAGAACAATGCCCAGTCCCCGTCAGCAGCCTGGCAGCTCTATTTTGCACCAATTGAAGTATCCGGACCGTCTTCAAGGGCAGCCCCACGTAGAGCGCATTACAGAAGTCTTATTGGGAAGTGACCAATGCATGTGTCGTCGTATTATGTATTTAAAACATTTGTATGCCACCCAATTGTGCTACTCTAGGCGGCTCACAACCATGAGATAAAAACACAATAAAAACCATAATAATCCCAATAACATATAAAATACAGCAAAACATACAAAACAAAGGTCTATAGTAATTATGTATTAATTTTTTTTTAAAGGAAGGTCTTTGCCTGGTGTCAAAAAGTGTGTAAATCCCCCCCCCCCGACATATGAAACCCTCCCAAAATATACATTTTCGTACTTTCATCTATGGTGGCTAAAGTACTTTGGGGTGGGGTTTTGACTTTTTATATTTTCGTGACTAGATTTTCATATTATGGAAAGTAAAAAAAAAGTAGTCCACGAAAGCACAGAATATGTGCAACTCAAGAAGAGTCATTATACTGCAGAATCCATGGACTGAAGCCCTAGAAATTCAGACACATCGGAAACCACTTCATATTTTTCTGGCATCCCTATTCATCAGTAACAGCATGTTCGCAACGGCAAACATTTACTATTCATTTCACCTCCTGACTACTCACTGCTGCTTTCACAATCCCAAAAGTTTACCAAATCCATATTTTTACATAGAAAAGAATGGGAATATCACTCGAAGACAAAGCCTTTCAGAGGAAAGGCTGCATCACCAAACACACACACACACACACACACACACACGATAAATAATGCATCCCTTGATCACTTGCAGAATATCGCCAAGGCAAAAAGAGAAATTCCAACATGTAGTTCATTGTTAAACTAGCTCTATCTCCCAGCAGGTGCTGGGATTAAAGTTCTGCTGAGTTTTCACTCAAGCATTTAAAAAGGAAACTGTTTTCAAGGATGCAGAAAATCTTTTGCTTTTCTGTAAGGCTGAGCTGAAGTGCCTCTCCCAACTTTTCAGCATTATGATGGGAAACCAGAGAGATGGCAATTCTGCCCATTCTAGGGCAGCCTTTCCCAAACTGGCAACTACAGGATCCTTTGAACCTGATGACTAGCTGCACTGGCTGAAGCTCACGGGCGACAGATTGGGAAAGGCTGTTCTAGGGATTTCTGGAACAAAGAAATGGCACCCAGGAACACTATTATTATCACTAAATGTACAATAATAAATCATAGGAGAGTAGGGCTGGAAGAGACCAAGAAGGCCATTGGATCCAACTCCCTGTTCTTGCATGTCACCAATTCATACCATCCCAATGAAATACAGTATATGGTCATGGCAGTAGCAATGAAAATACTCAACCAGTGCAGTTTGACTAATCCTTTCTTCCTCTTCGAGTCCCATTTTATACCAAAGGAATTCTAGGGAGACTTTGTTTTATTCCTATTTACAACTATTATTGGACTAATCTGCTGCTGTTCCAGCACCATTTAAAAAACTTATACAGGGCTTATCTTTCTTCTTTATTGTGTAATACCAGCCATGAATACAATGAGGCCACTAAGCCATGGGAATAATAAGTTGTGTGTGCTGGGGAACAGCAGAGAAAGCCAACAAAATTGCATTGCCTTCATTCTGAAGAAACAGCTTGCCACAAGTCTAGAATGTGCATTCGAGTATTCAGGTTGGAGTAAGTCACTGGCCAGATTAAATGTACATACATATATAAGGCAGTACTCCGCCTGTAGATCAACAGGGACATAGCAGTTTGAAAAAGCAAACAGAAAAAGTGGGCATGGTTTTTTAATGGGGAGGTCAGGAGAGCTCATAGAAGAAAATCCACCCTCACATCCCAATCCAGAAACAAGATATCCTCTTGTTTACAAGGTTTCTTTTTGAACCTCTAGCTTTCTGTGAGCAGTAGGTCCCACTCACCTGCTTTGGCTGAAGTAGACTCTAAGTTATGGGGCAATCCAAACAGCAAGATTGTAAAACAGCCAAGCACCAAGGTTTCAGTGCAGTAAAGGGGCGGGTGGGTGGGCAGGCTTGACCAAAGTACAAGCAAAGGTCAAGACACTTAAGAAGGCAGACACATGACAAAGTCCAGGAGCAGAGTCAAGCAAGAGCCCAAGGGTCAGTGGCAGGGAGCATCAAACATCCAGGCAAGACCCAGGCAAAAGGTATTGAAGTTTAAGAGTGGCATTGCTTTCATCACTGCATATGTAAACCCTGAAGACCTGTAGGATTAGAGCCTGCTGAGCTCCACTTATGGCTCAGCTGCACTACATCAGAGCTTTCTGGCTCATGAGGAATCACTTCTCTGTAGGTGAGCACTGCTTCTCACAAAAACGTCTTCTGGGGACCAAGGAATGGCTCCCTCTTCATGTCAAAGGCAGAAGGTCCCTCATTCCTGGCAGAGATGGGCCTGCAGGCACTT